ATCTATAACTTTTGAGGTTCAGGAAGGCGGCAGAGGAAGTCTCAGGAATGGCATGATGTGGCCTCTTGCTATTGTACCAGAGTGTACATCATGCTAAGTGGCCTTTGAAGTTGAAGCTCACAGTAATTGATAGCAGTCGGCTAGAGGATGTTGTTGATAAAAGATTCTGAAGCTCTGATTTGAGAAGACAACTCTGCAGCTGATGTTGATGTCTGCCAAAGCTTGGCATCAGAGAAGGGTTACAGAGTTGCAAGATTTAGCTTCTTCCTCTTTAATGGAAAGCACTTTGATTTGGGAAGATGAACATCCTGAACTTAAAGAGATCAAGCTCCGAACTAACATTGTGACTTTGAATCTGTCAATTAACTTTATTTTTACTCTCTCTCTCTCTCTCTCTCTCTCTCTCTCTCTCTCTCTCCCTCTCTCTCTCTCTCGTGTGTGTGTGTGTGTGTGTGTGTGTGTGTGTGTGTGTGTGTGTTCTGAATCTGCTGCAAATACAATGAATGTAACATTGGGCTTGTCATGTGGTCATTCTGTTTCAGTATGAAGAAAGTCACTTTAGGAGCGGTGATAGGCATGGGAAAGAGTAAGAAGAGGTAAAACCAAGTTTCTGGCGGTCTCTTGGGATGTAAATGATGTGAAAAAGCCATGGATTACCCATAATTAGATGCCCAATAAGCAGAGACATTCATTGTGAGATAACCCTAAGCATCGATATTGACTGTAGCATCCAATCTTCCTTAGGAAGACCCAACACGTGGAAAAAAAATCCAAAGTCAAGAATGGAAAAGGCCAAAACATATCCTGTCCTTTCTTATGTCCTTCAGCTCAACCACTGCTGCGAGATGGTTCTTAGATCTTGTAATTATTTGTTAAGACAAGAGGGCTACGACCCAGCACGAAGCTCTGTCTGCATTGTGGAATTATCCTTCTCTTCTGTTTTCTTCATCTAACATTGTGTGCCTCTAGCCTGAGCAGTGTGCACAATATCTTCCTTCCATCACTTCTTCCTCTTCTGTAAGGATATAATGACTTATATCTGGGGATATAAGTCATACTTTTAGTGAAGGTCAGGTCCAAACCTGAAACATGGAACTCTAAGCAGAATACTATCATAGCGCTACTCTCATAGACGTGGTCTGTTGAATTAGGCAGAGTTGGGAATTGATTCTCATTATAATCCTGTTTTGGTTAGACTGTGTTGGCAAGTTTCTTTTCTGTAAGCCATAATTTAGCACTTCAAGACTAGAGTTATAATAGTATTTTATGGGCTTGTTAGAAAGGTTAAGTAGATAGGAGTACATAAACAGGACAGCGATTCTGCCCCCAGGAGGAATGCCCTGTATCTTCTTTGAGTCTATATTTAAATTATTAGACTGTTTCCAAAGACTTCTTTCCTCTGATTTTAGAGGGGCAGTAGTCTTAGAAAGCAGATGGAGAAATTTATCTAATACCCAAAGCAGAGCTAGGTTCAGCCTCCTCCATGGTTCATAGCAGTGTACGTGGGTCTGGGTTGCAATGATCTGCTCACAGCCTCTGATAACTTCGGATGCTGTACTACAGACTCTTCAAAATTCCCTTTCTCTCCTATCCACCTTGGCATCCAGAGTCCCAGCACAAGCCCTTCTCTATTGTTCTCAACCTCTCTTTGCTTATATCTGTGCTTCTTTCTTTACTGAGGTTATCCATACCTGTCTTGCCTTTGGGGCTGGAAGATAAGAACAATTATCTCTTTTATGTTATGGCCAGAGTTTAATAGTGCATATATATTACTGGGGTTCAATGTAAGTGAATATATGAACTACATTTATTCTTTTCAAATGCTAGAGATGAACTCGTAAGCCTCAAACGTTTTAGGAAAGAAATAAATCACTGAGCTACCTCACGGCCCAGTGGAATGACATTTCTTAATCATGATCTGAAGCAGCATTTATACAGATACAGATTTCCAAGATCCCAAATAGAAATAAATCACTTCTGTAAACTGTTTCTGTCTACTTCTAAGAGGATTTCTAAAATATCTTACTGTCATAATTATATTTCCTTTGGGCTCATAAAAATAAGTTTACCTTTCTGAATTAGCACTAAACATTAGTTCTAATCATGATTCATGTTAAAAAAAAATGTCCCTGATTTTAAGAAAAACGTCAATGTATTATTTCTCTCTTATATAGAAAACTAGATATTACATTAATATCACCTGTAGTTAGTTAAGCTCTTAGAACTCAGTCAAGCTGATATGAGTGCATGGTTATCATTTATCTGTGCACTCTGGCAGTACTGAACGTCTCTGGAGTTTGAGACACCATTGAACAATAAACAAGACCAAGTCGTTCTTCCTATGAGACCAGTCCAGAACAGTAACAGCTGGTGACCAGCGTTATAAGAAGAATTGAAATAGGACAATAAACTAGCAATGAAAAAATGTGTATCATAAAAATTCTTTGAGGAAATGACTGCGGAACTGAAATCTGAATGATGGGAAGGAAGCAGGAACGGGAGGATGAAAGAGCTGGAGGAAAACTCCCCCAGATTGGGAGGGAAGGAGCCTAGAATGTTTGAGGATCAAAAGAAAGATGGATATCCCATGTGTTTAAGGAAGGACTAGGAAAGGGAGGTTCACAATGAATGACTTCTGATAGAGGCCATGGGAAATAATATCTTTAAGGGGCTGGACACTGGGATTTGACCGTGATCCAGGCGTATATGGGCAACACAAATTGTACTTGGTGTATTTTTTTATGCATGAAGCTGAGAGAAATGGGACATGAGTGTAATCGGGGTGTATTGTGTGAAATTTCTAAATAATCAATGGAAATATTATGTTGAAAAAAGTAGGGAGGAAGAGGATGGGAAAGTCCCTCTTGCCAAAGAGAAAACAACCCTGTGGGAGTAGAGGCTGGCAATCTTCTTAAAGAAAAACAAAGCAAATTCTTCATCTCTAAGTGTTTCATTGACCCAAGATAATCAAACAGCCCTGCTAGAGAAGGGTGATTTTCTTTGTTAGTATCAGATGGCCAGTGGGTGGAGCCCCCCTTCTCCCCTTGAAAAATGAACTCAGATTAATAGCCCCTTTCCTGGTTTACTGTGGATGTGAATTCCCAGAATTTAGGCCAATTTCATCTGTTTACCTCGTTTCCCCCTATCTCATATGATACCCAGGCCTGCCAAGCTGAGCTCTGTGTCCTGCCCCCAAGACCTTGAGTCCAACTGTGTGAAGGGTTAAAGTGCTTTGTATTCTGGTGAGATTTGCAATTGCTGGATTGCGGTTTTATGAGATCCCTTACTGCTTGGCTCCAGGCAGAAGCATGCTTTCTTAAAACAAGAAAAGGGGCGGGGGAGGGGGAGGATACATTTAAAGAAAAATTAACAGTTTTGCTTTCTCTAGCAAGTGTCTGGAAGGTGAACAAATTGTGTATGCAGTGTGTATATACACAGAGTCAATCCCCGAGTATAGTGGGTTGACATTCATTTCTCAGTTCAATACTAGGAAAGCATTCCAATCTACCCACTTGGATTTTCACTTACATTACAACCTTCAATCAATTACATATGATTTTCAGTACTTTATTTCAAAACTTAGATAATGTTTCCCATCTGTGGGCTAATGTTTATGAAAGGCTAAGCTAAGCCTTGATGCTCCTTAGATTAACTGTATTCCATGAATTTGTGTAAAGGTATTTTAGCTTACAATGGATTCATTGAGATACACCTCCTTCGCAAGTCAAGAAGCTTGTATGTATATATTCACACAAGGACAAGTCTATATATCTCATACATATGTGTGTATGTATGCATATACAATAGGTTAACATACAAAAAGAAATGTAGAATATTAATGTAACCATAACTATAAGTTTGCTTCCAAATAAACGATAAATTTTAATCCTTCGTCTCTATACCTGGGTATTTTCTCAGATCAGAAATGTAAATATGTTGCCCTGTCTAACCTGTAGAATGCAGTTTCTTTGACACAAGAGATAACTTTTCTTTCAATATTTAACTGGAAATATCTTGGGCTACGAGTAATCCATTCAAGGAACCCGTGTTATAGGCTGCTGTCGGAGACCTGCCTTGACAAAATTTGTACGTTCCAGGGTAGGAGCGTGAGGGTTAGAATTACTAAACAAAAGAAACAGAGGTATGAGAAAATATGAGACAGAAACACAGAACGGCATAGGGAGGGAAATTAAGTGAATGCTGACTCCGTCTGCATTTATTTTCCACATACTTAAATACTTCATTCCAAAAGGGGAGGGGGAGGCAACAAACTTCATGATGTAAGGAATAGACTTGAATTCTCCAGCCTTTGGTCCAGATGGAGCAGATTAACCTCTATACCCAAAATACTAGCTAACCATACCGTAAGTCAGAATCTTGTCAACAACATTGAGAGAGCAAGAATAAGCTAAAACTCTCTGGTCTTCCGTCAAGGTGGAGCAGGCTCACATCTGTGTGCTGCTCACCTGTGTGCCACATCTGACCACCGTGGCATGTTTGTTAACTATAGTTGAGGCTCACTGTACCTTTTCTGAGGATCAGTAGCCCCGTAAAACTGAAGTAGTCTACTACCACAAATTTCCCATGTTCCTATCTTTTCTCTAAAAGGTAGCTTGATGGTGTAATCATGATGATCTAGTACAACTACCTAGATGGTACCGTGTCTTTAGCTGCTGGGGAAGATGAGCCTCAGAATGGGGGAATCAGGTGATAATGGCCCAGAATAGATCTTGCCTCATGCTGCAATTATCACAGCGAGCTTTGGTATCACTGTGCACATGACCATGTCTTTTCTTAAGTTCTCCTGTGTGCCAAGGTGTCTCCCACAAAGCAAGCTAACCATCTTTTAAAGCTCATGGTTGCTAATTATTTCTTTGTTCGTTTCTTAGTCTTCAAGAGTTCAGGTCCTGGGCCAAGGGGACTTAGTGCTGTCCGTATAAACCACGCTCTAAGAATAGTACCCAAAGCAAGCCAAACTTTCCTTAACGACCTGATTGCAGACGTCCTCGTGTGCCCGCTGAGGCCAGTGGAGCGCTTCCGTGACCTACGTCCTGATGAAGTGGCCGATCTGTTCCAAGTGACCCAGAGAGTAGGGTCGGTGGTGGAGAAACATTTCCAGGGGACCTCCATCACCTTCTCCATGCAAGTGAGTAAACAAGTTGTTCAGACATGTTTCTTTCCTTTCTTCTCAAAGTTGTGTGTATTGGCTCTGTATCCCAGCCTTTTTATCAGAGAAGTAGTTTTAGTGATCCGCAGAAAAAAAGATGCCCCTAATCCAAGGCAGCTGCCCCAACGTGGTCTACGGAATGGCATCACAGTAAGTACCTGGTGTGCTGTTTACAACATAGGTGGAAGTCATAGACAAGAGATTTTATGGGCTTGACTCAGTTGGGATAAGGCAAGCCAAAGGGGATTTGGAGGAAGAAAAGGTTCATTTGCCTTACATCTCCACACTAAAGCTGGCCATTGAGGTGGGCTAAGACAAAAGCTTAAAAGTTAGCGACCTAGAGGCAGGAATGGAAGCAGAGACCATCGCCAGCACTGCTTACTAGTTGGGGAAGGCTTTTTGCTCTGTGGTATGTTCTGACAACTGTGGATCCAAGGAGAACAATGACAAGGCTGAGCCTTCTCTTTGTAGGGCTCACTATTCTCTAAACGTAATACAGACCACAGTGTTGAGTCACAGGTTTTTACTTGCGGTTGTTGAGCATGGCCCGCTACAAATGGAAGAAAACAGATTTTTTAACCATCAGAGATGGACAGGTAGAACTTGACCTAGTACTCTTCAGGTCGAGAGAGGGATGTCCGTGATACATCTGTCAACAGTTGGGAATTGAGTAAATTAGTAACACCACATGAGCCACTTCGCATCCCTAGTCAGGTTCACAGAGATGTGTATTTAGCCAAAACCACAGACTGATAATTCTATTTGGAAAATTTTTATTGCAGAGAAATTTTCCACCTTCCCCCTGGAGCAGCCACTTTCCCTTTCTATGGCATTTGGAGACTAGGCCTGTGTGCTTGTATTCAACAATGACAATAACAGTAGGCCATAGTCTTGCCAGCCATGAGAATCTGGGAAGGGGGATAGATACATGGATAATGGTACACCCCCATCAACCACTTCTACTTTTCTGCCTCAAGGTCATAAGAGCTTGAAAAGATTGTGCCCATCTAAACGCTTCATCTTCTTGCTTTGTTGATTTCTAGAGGAGAAATTCAATCAGATATTAATTAAGTGATTTCTGATTTAAAGATAACCAAACTGGTCCTTTGCCTCCTCAAACATTTTCGGCCTTACCTTTAATGTGATTAAAGCCATAACTGAATGCAAAGAGCATGAAAAGTAGAAAGGAGTGGCTTGCTTGATAATTCATATCATTTTATACATATTCCTCACTCAGAGGGAATTGGAGACCTGTCTGGTCCCACACATTCAGAATGAATGGTCCCCATGGGACTACTACAAATTAACACACAATGAAATTGGATCTAAATTATTAATGAGCAATATTTCTGAATAAGCAGGCAATATCATCCGTCAGTTCTCACCTCAACTCTTTCTCTTTCTTTCTCCTTCTTCTAGGATGGTCCTGAAGCTGGACAGACTGTGAAGGTGAGTGGTTATTATGTGCACACAAATTAATAAGAGGCGATTATGGGAGCTAATAAAAAAATCACATCGAGTCATTTGCGGCACACTGCTGTTTCATTATGTTATCTTCGAGGTCAGAGAGACCCTCGGTGTTGGAGCCATAAATCCTGACATTATAAACTGTACCCAACAGTATGTTTCCCATTAGTTTACAAGACATTTGCCACTGTGTAGTAAAATTATTACTGTGAAAATGCTAAAACAGAAACCAAATCGAGGAGTCCTAAATCAGAACAGGGCAGGGTGCCTCAACTTTCTATGGGTTTTATGGGTCCTGTACAGACTAGATCACCCAGTATGTCTTTATTTCTGCACACAATTTAATTTCACTCATTCCTTCTTCAAGAAGGGGACATTGGTTGTTTGCCCCAGGTTCCTGCTTTCCCTCCTGGTCCCTTGACCTGTTTTCTCTTCATGCCCACATATTTCTCTTCTCTCTAGCAACTAAATATCAAAGTCCAAACTTAATGGGATCATTGGAGTTCAAAAATGGTTTTGAAGTGTGCGAGAGAGGAAGGACGGATTTATTATTACAGTCTCTAGGACAAAACTAAAAGAGCCTCTGCTGATTATGAAACAAGAGTCCAGCTTATTTCACAAAACATTGGGTTCGATGCTTAAGTGACAGAGAAGACTGGGTTTGCGGTGGTAGAAATAAGAAGCCAACCATACTATATATATATATATATATATATATATATATATATATATATATATATATATATATATATATATCTGATGCCACACATGGTGAAATAAAGCTTTGGGCTTTAGGGGGGGCCTTGACTAGCAGGGTAACTTGGCACTAAGTCACACCAAATGAACGTGTCTCCATTGTAGTATGTAGGAAATAGGATATCTGGGGACTTTCATGGTGAGTGGTTGTCTCAAAAGGAAAGCCAGCAAATTACTAGTGATAAAAAGAGTGACCCCAATTTTTCCAAACACATGACATAGTGAACACAACTGAGGGACATTCTGCTTCCATCCACGCCCCTGACCATGCTGAGCATCCAAATATTCAGATGCCAAAAGAGGATGCAATATCAGTAACTTTGTTTTGAAACTGATTCTTGAAATACAATGCATAGATATTCAAGCTTGGCTGCCAGAGTTTTCAAACTCAGATTTCAAATGTAATTTTAAAATGCACTGGATTAGGGTTTAGTGAAGTTTCAGCGAACATGGGAAAGTACCCAAGGCAGAGCAAGTGCATGGAAGAATGCACAGCTATCCAGTAGAACACAGAGGCTGATAAACAGATGAATGTTATGTGAGCAGGTGGATTATGTACTCTCAAGATTTTACTTCACAATTCTAAAGAGGGCAGGTAAGTTATTTGCTATACAAATGGACTTGAATAGGGAAAAATAACTTAGAAGTTCCCAGGGACCAGGAGAAGGAAGAAATGGGGGTGAGTGCTAAGGCTCTCTTTTGTGGTTGATAGAGATGTTGCGGTATTTGGAAGATGGAGCTGATTTTTTAAATGTAATTCTTTAAAGGAGACAAGTAAGCCTTGAGTCCAGAAGGCTGAAGATCATGACTGTGGGGCCTCAGACTATGTATTTTCCCACTTGCCTGAACAAGGTGTCATGTTTTTGTTAGCGTTATTGATGTTGATGATGGACAGATTTATAATATAAAGTATTATGTGTGAATTATTAAGTGGACTTACCATAGTCAGTATTGTTTCGCTTAAGTTGATTTCTGTAAACAATTGTATCTTTTTTTTCTTTAAAATAAGCATATTACGTTTGAAAATTTTTTGTTCTTTCCAGACGAATCACCCCATTTCCACAGTATAAATTCATGGGGTCCGTTCACAACCTTTGTGGAATATCATACATAAAGAAAAATTCATCACACACACACACACACACACACACACACACAGAGTCCACCATGAAAAGATAGTAAACCTTTGTTAACTATTCTGCTACAGCAAGTCCTTCTATATAGAAGTATATATTCTGTATTTGTCAAATTTTGTGTGATATTTACACCACATTCCATGAAAGTTTATCTGGATGCCAGCTAAACAGCCTAGCCGCCACCACAAAGAATTTCAGCTGTTGTTTGGGTAAACCTTCTAACTAAAAACGCTGGAATAGGACGGGAATCTTCATTATTACACACAGTCTGATCTTTCCAAAAGTGGGTGTTTCCCGGCCATGTTATCTTCTGCTGACAAAGTAACTCGGTGATGGTGTTTGGGTACCAGGGATACATAGAGACCCACCCTGCAGCACAGGCAGCTTCTCCAGGGAGCAGAGTGGCACCTTCAGAATCCAGATGTACCATTTGAAGGTTCTGGGTTGAGGCTGGGAGCATTTGATGTTTTGAAATTCGCATTGTTGCACATTTTAAAGGGACGTTTGGCAGCCTACCATGGAAAGCCTGGGGCATGTCTTTTTTTTTTTTCTTCCCCTTTTCCTATGTGTGAGATTCTCAGTGCTGTGTCTGATGTCTGAGCTCTAAATCACTTTTGTCTCATGCCAGGTAGTAATAGCAATAGCCCACTAATGGTCTTTTTCCCTGAAGCAACTGTTGTTATTGTTAATGAGGGGACACCACTGAGTTAGCCTCTTGAACATGATGGCACTTCAAGATTTTTTTTTTCCTGGGGCTTTAGATTCTGCCTAGCAACACACAGGGTGGCCTGGCTTACTCAGTAAGACTCATGTAACAAGGAAAAGGAAATATTGAAGTAAAAAATGACCTCTTATTTGACAATTGATTATTTGGTTTCCTTCTCAAGCTTAAAAGTAGAACACTGCCAGGCACCAGATGTTCAGTGCGGTGATCTGGACACCCTGCAGGTTTCAGAGGAAATCTGTGTCCTCTCTCAGCTACTTAGCCCTGCCCTGCACCCACGCAAGTTGCCCTGGTGAACATCATGCTCCCTGTCCTGTTGGCTAGTTGGAGTCCTGTCAAGAAATTCTTCATTGTCTCTTACACATTTGTTTGTTTACAAATGTTCATTTTTCATGCTCTCTTTAGTTTCCAGGGAATGTATACACACACATATCTGTTATGATTTTGGATATTGTCATTACTGATGGTGCTTAGAACATGTTGCCTAGGAAAGTTGGCTCATTGGCCACTACAATAGGCTAAGATGAAGGAAACTGAGAAAACTGTGGCAGGAGGAAGATTCACTCTATAACATCATTCATCATTCTACCTTGAAGGAGGCCATAAAAGAATTATCTGACCTATCTACCCCAAAAGTAGACATAAGACAATCTCCCCCAGAAGGGCCCTGCTTTTTCTGGTAAGCTGTGAAGACTCGGGACAAGCAGGTTTCCACAAGTTACCCCAGCTTACTGCTGTTAGATCACAGCGCTGCTTTCTTTTCCGAGCTCACTTCCTCCTCTCCATAAAAATACTTTGCCCTGTTTCTTTAGGCCTTTGTGTCTGAAGCTGCATAAAACTTAGATCAAGAGGATGTGCTTCTGTGCTTTTTGTGCTGAGAATAATCTACTCCTGAGTCTCTATCATTAGTCCCAAAAAAGCAAGAGTTGATGCTCCTCTGTTTTCCACTGTACAGCCAGGCATTTAGGTTTCCTGAAATTTCTGTGAAATATTCCCTATATTGTAAACATCAGACTAAATATTTCCATAAATTATATTCCTAAAGTGAAGTGTTTATTTAATGATTCTTTTATCAATAAAGACTTGGGAGTCAGATATTGGGGTAAGAACCTGATTGATCAGAGAAGTAGTGGAGAAGCAAGTGGTGACCTCCTCTTTCTCTCCTTCTTTAATCCAGAAGATCTAGAATCTCTCTAAGTCTTTCCCTACTACTTCCTGTGTCTCTTTATATGTCCTTGGCTCTCTAAAACCTTAATGTCTAATTTTGTTCAGTTAGTAGCTAGTCTGCCCTCTGACTAAAGCAAATTTTATTGCCAGTCTCAGCAGTGTCAGAGTGAGATCAAAATATCCCAGAACATTTCTCCCTTTTGTTCTAAATAGTAAGGTAAAATTTTGACTCTAATATAGTAAAACTATATACAATAAGAACAATTATTAGATATTGGATTAAGAATATCCAGCCCAATTACATTTGGCAAATTCACAGAAAATACTCCATTATTTATTCTATCTTGGTGAGTTCAACATTTTGGACCTGATTCCCTTTTTATACTAACGTGTATTCCCAATCCAAAATTATATTTTTAGGTCTCAAATATTTTCATAAATAAACAATTTAAGCTTTTATGTCTCTTAACCGTATACACTTCATACCTCTTTTGTGAGTTTCTTTTCTGAATTTGGTAACATGGAAAACTGTAACTATAACTATCTATTCTTCAACTTCATCAGTGCCTTCCAGAAGAATATAATATTACCCGAATAAACAAAAAGTACAGAACAAATAATTTCCAAAGCTATAGAAATGACAGAAATAGCTGGCTTCCTGAACAGTCACCCAAGGTCCTCTGCAATGTTTGGTCATCCATTGTCAGCCTATAGGCCTGGAATATCTGAGAGACTTTTCTATGAAGCAGGAAATTTGAAGGACTCTCCTAACCTGTCATAACAAAGTTTGGAAGCTGCTTTATTTTGTGTACTTCTTGTTCAGTTTGCTAGCATGGTGTCAGCAGTCAAGGCAAGGGCATTTTCTTGTCCAAATGGCTAACTTTTGCTACAAAGAAAGCAAACTCCATATGGAGGATCTTTGATGCCCATTATCTTCTCTCAAGTAGATTGATGCTGCCAGGAGAAGATGTGTCTCACTGTCGTGAAAAACCATATTATTCAAACATCTTAAATGCCATACTTTATAGACCTCTGAAGTGTTTGAAGACCACATACTATCTAAAGTTTATCTCTTTTTAACCTTGAAAACATACTAACATGGCCACAAATTTAATCACTAGATGACTAACTATTAGACTTAATATCCTAAACTATTAATCTTAATTATCCTAAATAGTTTGTAATAATAACTTTCAAGG